CGCATGGTCATCCTTCTGCCACGTCACCTCGGATGCGAGGCCTCCCCGTGTCCGCTACGTGTCGTCTGCTGATTGGACCGAAGTCTCGCGTGGCACCTTCTGATTGGACCGAAGTTCGGTCCACTCCGAATCCGACACCCCTCGCTTCCCTGTCTCGCATTCGGACCTCGGCCTCGTGGTCGTCGCTGCTGACGACGCGTAGCTGCTGACTCACCTTCAGACCGCACCCTCGCACCCCTATATAAAGGGTGCGAGACTTCTCGGATATTTCACATATTTCACCCCATTTTCACCCTTTTTCACATATTTCACTTCCACAAACTTATATACAACCCCTAAAGCCCCGATATCTTATCTCAAACTCTAAGCAATCCTCGAAGCCCCGAGATTCCCGAGAAAAACAACCTTTCTCCAGTCGAAACTCTGCCCAATTAAAGCCGGTTTTTCGTCAAATAAACTCCTTTTTAGGAAACGAAACGCTATCCAAATCACCACTTATCAAGTGAGTTCATACCCCCGTATTTTCATAATTTTTACTGTTCTAAGGGGGGAAATACAAGTATAACACAAGAACTTTGTGTTACAAATAAATGATTTCAAATCACGATAAAACTATTTTAAAACATCAAAAATACTCCAAATATTGAACTCTTTTATAAACTTATATTTTTCCCAAAAATTCATATTTGTATATATATATTAATATAAATAATATTTAAAAGGTTTAGGACTAATAACTCATTCTAGGTCATTTTCCTTGTTTGGATGTGGACTTATAGTACCGGTTATTGGTCCGAATGTCGTTTAAATTTTACTTATATATAAAATAGTATATGTATATAAATATAAAAGTTATTTCATCAGTTTAATTACCCTTGTAACATGTTGAGCAAAGGGTTACATGCAAAAATAGATAAAGACCAATTCATAAAGTACATATAAATTATAATAGGTATAATTTATGATACATAGAACAGTAATTCATGATTCAAGTATACTAGAATACACCGTTTTACAAGAAACAAAGGTTTGATTCAAAACAAATCAAGGGTTTACATTTTTCAAATACATGTCAAGAATACTAATTCACGGACATACAATCATTCATTTATTTCAGAATGATTGGGTTTTCATTATACATGTAACGTTTATATGCTTTTTATGAGACATTCAATACAGGTTGTTTAAATTCATTTAAACAACCAAGTTAAAGTCCTGATAATTATAACCAGAGTCTCCAGTCAGGGAATCGAAACAAGGTGTGTATAGATCTATATTGGGATTGACAACCCCGCACTCAGACTGCTAGCTACAGTCAGTCATACACGCCAATGAGTGACAATTGTTATCAACAATTTAAACGCCTACAAAGCGTTTGTTTCAGGCCATTCAGTCACAGTATGGTTATAACAACTCATTAAAAAGATATTAACAACACGTTAGTGTATAAACAACTAAACGTAAGTATATCTTCAAAGTACCAGTTTACAAAATACAAAGTACAATGGTATATTACAGTTTCCAATAACAGCTGGTGAAACCAGGCACACTCTCAGTTACAAGTTTTACAAATACAGCACATTAGTTTACAAATAGAACAGCTTTATGGGAATAAAACTACTTTTCATATACAACAGAAAATATGGGATTTTCTGGAACAGTTTTCATATTCAAGATACAGAGACATCCTTTCAAATATAAAGACTTATGCACTCACTCAACTTATTGTTGATACTCTCTTTTCAAATTACTTGTATTCTCAGGGAAATAATAAACAGGTACTCCCCGAGCTTTTTGAGAAGATGGAGCTATTTTGAGTCATATCTTCTTTTATTGTATAACTATTTTGGTTTCAATATACATTGATTGAACACATATAAATACTTATACTTTTTAAATACAATGGTTGTTTGTACTTTGATTACTATGATGCATGTGTTGTGATACTACAAATGAAGTCCTCCACCCCCGGACGTTTCCGCCGTCTAGTTTGGGAGTGTGACATACACTTGGAGTCCGACCATAAGTAAATGAAAAGATGTGTGAAGATGGAGATGGCAGTGCGGTTCTAAATGTGAAACCGTGAAAGTCAAGAGTTACAAAGAATGTCATTTGGTGGTAGACCATCAAAGTCTTATAAGGACACTTCTCTCAAAATCAAAATGAGGAGACCAGTTTAAGTTTTTAACATATATGTTTTTGTGAAGATTGTTTCTGTTAATCTCTTCACTACTAATAGTCTTCGGATGTAATCACACCAAAAACTGTAAATAGCATATTTACCCTCCTTCTGACAGAGACATAATCTATTTAATTGTCTTTTCTCGATTTACCCCTTCTAGAATATATGTGCATTAGTGAAGGTTTAGCAGATTATTGATATGAAAATAAAGTTTCCTACCTATCTTTGACTTTAATTATCAAATCTTGATCCTTCATTATAATAATCATGAATTACTCCTTCTAGAATATGTATGTATGTATGTGTGATATATCTGAAGTTTCTTAACAACCGTATATGCAAATGCATTTCCATATAGCTTTTGTAATGTCCTAAAACCTTAGTAGATAGTTGGCATAATACCCTCCAAGTCAACCAAAGTCCATTAAGTCAAAAAGAAACAACACCTTAACTACTTGGGGAATCACAGTTCATGCTCAAATGGAGGCTTTGAGGTGGGATGTACCTGAGGTGAAGTTTATTGTTGGTTTCTACCTGAGGTGTTCAGGGAGTATGATGCTTTGATTGGTTATGAGGAGGAATATTATGTGAATTTTGATCTTGGATCTCAATTCGCTCAATATTGCTATTGATTTTCTTCGTATATCCTTGATCATTTCGCTAACAATTTCTATTATATGTTATGTTGGTGATTTTAGTGTCACCATGTCATTTTAAGTAACTTGAACCAACATGTGAGCTAAGGGGCTTCATGATTTGTACTCTAATATATGTACGAGGTTGTGCGGAGTGCACGCATGTATAAGATCGAATCAGAAGCCGGTTCGATGACTAGTCAGGGGTCCGGGGACAGCGCCCCTTGGTCCGGGGTTTCCAAAGGGGAAGCGTCCCTTTGGCGGGGTCTAGGGGCAGCGCCCCTAGCGGGGTCCAAGGGGCAGAGCCCCTGGCTGGGGTCCCGCTAAATCCTCATTAAATCCAATTTCTTGAGGGTGATTATGGTAAAACTAACGAAACTCGTTAGTTTTTGGTGACCCTAAATCCTCATTAAATCCTGATTAACATTACTTGCTTTAAAAGCAACTAATGACGGCCCAACCCTAATGAAACCCTAATTGTGTTTAATATATAAACATTTCTTCCTCTACAGAAGTGGGTTACGATCTTAAGCTCTCGTTTTCATCAGACTTTCACAGAATCCTCTAGCATATTGGCTTACGTCTTCTATGCCTAGAAACGTAAGTGTCCACTTGGATTATCCTAAGCTGAATTTCTTGTAACCCAGGCATAGGGTAGAAATATCAGTTCGGAAAGTGATATCATGATCCAAGTTGGTATCCAGATCTCCACCACAAACCCTAAATTTCCCAACATGTTATATTTGTATTCTTTAAAGAGCCAAATGTCAAATGGAAGTTATTAGAATCTTCTTGAGACTAAAATGCTAATACCTTTTAGGTAATAATGAATCTTAGTAAATTCTTTAAGGAGAATAGTGAGTGTAAGGTATAATACTTTAATAAATTGTTGTTGAAGCTTACATGAGTGAGGTGAAAAGAGATGGAAGAGAAGCGGTTGAATCCAGATGTTGCAATATACAGAACATTGATTGAGTGTTTAATTTGGGAAATGAGATAAAGTACAAATGGCTTGTAGATTGTTTGATGAAAAGGGTGTTGCCCTAATATTGTTATATATAACATATTGTTAGATTGCCTTGAGAGATGTGGAACAACTGCTGAAGCTGTAAATTTGTATGCAGTGCTTAAAGAACAAGGTTTGACCCCGGATTGAATTAAGCATTCCATTATTGAACGTAATTTACAAGGTGGTTCTCACATGAAATTCAGAAGCCGGAGGCAAAATCCAATTACTGGATGGGTTGTTAGTCCTTTAAGTTGATAAATTTTATAACAACCAAACATGGTTGATGTAAAAGATCATATGTACAACATTTGTGGCTTCATGATGCTCAAAAATGCCGAAGGCACAATATCATATCAAATGTCATTTCCTTAGACATGAACCTGTTTGTTAAAAGTGGTACCTCCGGATGAAGTCTGAATGCCGAACTTTGGAATGTGGAAGTTGTTTTCTTCTTTGAAAAAAGAAATTGGTAAGTTTCTCTTGGATATGCTTGGTAAGTTTCCTGTAACCTCGGGGTTTACTGATTTAATTAACCTCCAAATAGTTATAAAAATATATGTTTTCATCTCTTTTGCTTTGCATGCATATATTTTTAACAATGGTTTTGCTTTTGATGTCGGGTTATTTAGTTGACAATGTGAGATTTGGTACTTGATATTTGTAAAGAAAAGGCATAACAAAAACAAAAAAGCAATCAGATTTATTAAAAGGGAAGGCCAGAATTAGGGTTAGGGTTACGATTAACGAAAATGTGTACATTTCCATCTCAAAATAACAAATGTGGTGTAAGTAAACAAAAGGAATACTCACCAAAAAAATTTTGTAGTTCCAAAATGATGAAGAACAGAAATTAGGGTTTGATGAAATAGGATCAAACAGAGAAAGATTGAAAAGAAAGAAGATAATGAAATTGACTAATTGATTACACGATTAACACAATCTAAAAGATTGCCCAGGGAATCTCCCTCTCTCTAACCCGAAAGCTTAAGAACCAATACAAAGTATTACACTATCAAATTTCTAGACATCCCTCTACTGTGACCTTTCTCTCTATTTATTATAATCCTAGCCCACCTAGGTGAATTTCCTGTATTGCCCTTTACTGGGCCTTCTAAACAAAACCTACAAAATTAAATTCTTGCTTAAATGGTATTTGGGCCCAGCAATACTCATTTCATATCATTACTCCCGCCTTCCAAAAAGTCTTGTCCTCAAGACTTGTTTCAAGAAATTGGATCTGAATTGCCCATGCTTCCTCCCCTGTAACATCTTCAGCCAGTCGCCCTTTCCACCAAGATAACCACCAATCAACTTGTTCCCAACGAGCAATGATAGAACAGGAAACAAGAAAAATGATGGGAATCCTCCAATCCGAAGCACTCAATTTCGGTTCTGATAGCAAAACTTGTTCAAAGAAAGATCTCATTTCCTTTTTAAGCAATTTATACTTATCAGCTAAAAGATGTACCAAATCCATTTCTTGTGATGCACAAATATCATGCCAAAATTCATGTGCCTTGTAACCTTGTAGTTCTATGATTCTTATACATGTGATTAGCTCCAGCAATTCCATTGTATGTATCTTGTTCAGTGAGCAGGCTGAAGAGCCCAATGTAAGCACCCAAAGGTTCATAACTTGGGTTAAGGGAATGTTTTTAGGCTGCTGCATGTCTATGTGAACTATCCACCCCACCCTGCAATCTTCATGAAAGTACCATAATCCTATTGTTACAATTTCTTTTATCAAATGTGATGACCAGTCTAAGTTTGTTCCCTTGTTCACTTGTAAATGAATGTCTAGTGAGCCATTGCACATATACTCAAAAACTAACAGCCTCTGATTCCCTTCAGTGCAAAACCCAGCTAACCACACCACATTTCTATGTTGTGTACAACTAATATTCTTACATCCTTATATAAATTAATAGGAGTATTTGAATAAACTTGTAGAGAGGATATAGCATATGCATTGAGATTGGAATTAATGTAATAGTAGCTAACATGCAAGACATCCCCCTTACCCTGATGTCCAGGTTCGTACCTCCTTGCAACTTCGGGTTGGCTTGAAACTAACAGACGCTGATGCACTGAAGCTCCGTGATATACAACACTCATTCCTGGTTTGTCCCTGTTGTGAACGATCTCACCCAATGTTTTGAGCCAAACCATGTCTAAATGTTTCTCATCACAAATGGTGAAGTTCACACATGGCTGATCAGTACAAACAGTATGGTCGTCTTCTCGGTTGATGTTAATTCTGGAACAACATATGAGTGATACAACCAAGGAATTCATCCATTGTTGAGACAAGAAAGTATGAATAACATCGTTATCTACCACTATTATTTTCGGGATATCAATGATTCTTTCGAATTTCAGTATTTTACCTCTAGAAGTGATCTCCGTGTAAACCCCACGTAATTCCTTTTTGCATCTCGTCTCTCTTTCCATTTTGTCCTGTTATGCGAGCGTACCCCTTGATCCCGTTGAAGGACTTGAGACGTTTTTGATGAAGGAAACCCATAGAAACGTTGATAAGGGTTTAAATTGGGTAACACGCTTTGTATCTTCTGATTCTCGGTCGTGGGCCTAGACATCTTTGTCCCTCTACTACCAGTCCAACCCAACATAGATGGATCTTGAGTTGAATAATGCACTGGACTTAGACCAATGTTTGGCAGATTACAGAAACGATGGGATAGAGTACCGACCGACGGAAATAACCCCTCCTCAACGTCGTTGAGGATTTCCTCGATAGAATCTGGAATTGAATCGGTTTGCTTCATGGTTGCTAACTGTTCACCAGAGTTTTCGATCTCTAAACTACTGAAACGTTGGAGTAATTCCGTCTGAAATTTTCTCCCATGTAATCGATTCGTAGATCTCAATCAAAATCCTGAACCAAATTTGAGCAACACCCTTCATACTCGATTGAAGTAAACAGATTCGTAGGGGAGGAGGTGTACCATTACTTTGGAAATACAAGGTTGCCTGCTGAATCCAACCTTGGCGATCAACACCAGAAAATTCAGGAAGCGTGATTTCCTCCACCACCCTTTAAGTCGAGAATCCCTCAATTGAAGGTTGGACGTGTTGTTAATTATGAAAGCTACACACGGATTGGCACATCAGACTAGTACACGTCATCTAACTTAGTTATTCAGTTAGACAATCAGTTAGTTAGTTTTTCTGTTTTGAGAGTTGTTCATGTATATACCTTTGATAGCTGTAAATTTTCTTTCAATGAATTCTGTAATAACATTCAAACAGTTCATCATTCTTCTCTCTGTAATTCTCTTCAACATTCAGGAATCAACATGGTATCAGAGACTGTGATTCCTGTCTAACTCTAATCAATTCTTTTCTTGATCAATTGATTGTTTTGTTTTTCAAATTCTGCATTCTTGTCATTTCGTTTCAATTGATTAGATCTTACTCTGTTTCTGAGATCTATCATGGCTACTTCAAATATTGGATTGAATCCGAATTCAAACTCTTCAGATCCTCTTTATCTTCATCCGTCTGATCATCCTGGTATGCTATAAGTTTCCAAACAATTTGATGGATCTAATTTTGGTTCATGGAGCAAAGGAATGTTGATATCGTTATCTGCAAAGAACAAAATTGGCTTCGTTAATGGCAAAATTCCCAAACCAGCTGATAACCATCATAAACTCGAAATCTGGCAGAGATGTAATGATATGGTAACCTCTTGGATTCTCAATGTTCTTACAAGTGACATCGCTGAGTCGGTATTATATTCCTATTCTGCTCTCGAGATCTGGAAGAATTTAGATGAGAGTTTTGGTCAATCAAATGGAGCAACAACTTATCAACTTGAAAAAGAGATCTCAGATTTATCTCAAGGTACTAGTGATTTGGCTACCTATTTCGCTGAGTCGGTATTATATTCCTATTTTGCACCCACCGTAAGAAACTTACAGGGCACACAGTCAACAAATGCTATCGTTTGGTTGGATTCCCAAAGGATTTCAAGTTTACAAAGGGACGAAGTGTTGCTACTAATGTCACTAACCATCCACAGACAAATGAAGGTTATTCATCACCAAAAGAAGGAGTTCTTCCTGAATTGACTAATGATCAGTACCAACAGTTCATCTCAATGCTCAACTGTTTTAAATCGCCAAATGGAACCAATCAAGCTGATCAAATCCCTCAAGATCCCAATAGTCAACATATTTAGGGACAAAATCATTCCAATGTTAATTTTGCTGGTAATACTTGTTGGGGTTGGAAAACTCCTCTATTAAACACGAAAATAGAATTACAATAGGAGGAGCAACTCTCACACTCAACTATTACAAAAAAACCAACCCTCTCACTAACACTCTCACTCTAAGTGTTATACTATCTGTTTCTCTGTGTTTTTGGGATGCATACAACTGAAGAATGAAGTCTCTATTTATAGTCTTGGCAGCCACCATTGTAGTTGCATTCATTAATTGTGTTCATCATAGAGTGGGAAGAAAAACTTGTCTCGTAGGCTTCATTTTGTCAACAATGGTGGCTACTGTAGCTTTGGAGACTTTGGAGGCTGGAACACAACAAATCTCCCCCTCCAGTCTCCGTCCAACAATCCTCATCCCAACTATGTCAGCACATAGTCTGTGTTTCTCTTGTGTCACCATCTCTGTCAACATGTCTGCAGGATTGTTATTGGTGTTGATCTTTAACAACTTCAATTCTCGTCCCTCAATTGCTTCTCTAAGCCAGTGATAACGTATATCAATATGTTTTGTACGGGAATGGTACATCGAGTTCTTACTATCGCAATGAATGATGTACTCTTCTTGTGGAAAGCCTAATTCTTGAAGAAACCGTTTCATCCATATAAGCTCCTTCCCAGCTTCAACGGCAGCAATATACTCGGCTTCTGTTGTTGACAGTGCGACACACTTCTGTAACTTGGATTGCCACGAGATAGCTCCCCCTGCCAAAGTAAAAATGTAACTTGATGTAGATTTCCTACTATCAAGATCTCCTGCCATATCGGCATCTGTATAACCTTCCACGATTGGCTTTGCTCCCCCGTAGCATAAACATAGTTTCGAACTACCCTTCAGGTATCGAAGTATCCATTTGACTGCTTCCCAATGTTGTTTTCCCGAATTAGCTAGATATCTACTCACAACACCGACAGCATGAGCAATATCTGGTCTTGTACACACCATTGCATACATAAGACTTCCTACGGCTGAGGAATAGGGGACTGCCTTCATCTCTTCTTTTTCTTTCTCAGAAGATAGACAATTTTTCTTACTCAACTTGAAGTGGTTAGCCAAGGGCGTACCAACGGGCTTGGCATTTTCCATGTTGAACCTTTTGATCACACGTTCAACATACTCTTCCTGTGATAAGAACAATTTTCTTGATTTTCTATCACGGATAATTTTCATGCCCAATATCTGTTGTGCTTGGCCTAAGTCTTTCATATCAAAGAACTTAGACAAATCCTTCTTCAAGTTGTTGATCATCATTGCATCTTGGCCCACTATCAACATATCATCCACGTAGAGCAAAAGGATGACAAATTTCCCATCTGGAAACTTCTTCAGATAGACACAATGGTCTGCATTAGTTCTCTTGTACTCATGATTCATCATAAATGAATCAAACTTCTTGTACCACTGCCTTGGGGCTTGCTTAAGACCATAAAGGCTCTTCTTTAATTTACAGACGAGATGCTCTTTCTTTGGGACTTTAAAGCCATCAGGTTGCTCCATGTATATTTCTTCATCCAAATCACCATGCAGAAAGGCTGTTTTCACATCCATCTGCTCAAGTTCAAGATCTAGACTGGCAACTAATCCGAGTACAACTCGAATAGACATCATCTTCACAACTGGCGAAAAATTTTCATCAAAGTCGATTCCTTCTTTTTGTTGGAAACCTTTGACAACGAGTCTCGCCTTATACTTCATAGTATTTCCCTTGCCGTCTTTCTTCAACTTGAAAACCCACTTGTTTTTCAAGGCTTTCTTTCCTTTGGGGAGGTTTACCAACTCATATGTTTGATTCTTCTGCAAAGAATTCATTTCTTCTTCCATGGCCTTCTGCCAATTTGCTTTGTCAATATGAGATTGAGCTTCTTGAAAACTCTCTGGCTCCCCCTCACTAGTAAGAAGGATGTAGTTTGAAGTCGGATATCTTCTTGATGGAGCACGGACTCGTTCGGATCGTCGAAATTGAGTTCCTTCATTTGCAACTTCTGGCAGTGGATCTGAATTATCCAGGGGTGGAAGCTCCCCCTCATCAACACCTTCTTGATATGCATCATCGACTTCTTCATCCACTTCTTCAGCGAAACATCTTCTTTATTTTCAGATATTATATCTGAAACTTTGGAGCTTTGTTGCTTGTTAACCGGTGCCTTGAAATCATAATACTGGTTTTCATAGAAAACCACATCTCTACTTCGAATAACCTTCTTTAGTTCTGGGTCCCATAGCATGTACCCGAACTCTTCATCTCCATATCCAATAAAGATGCATGGAGTGGATTTGAGGTCCAACTTCTTCCGCAGTTCACTTGATACATGTGCAAACGCCTTGCACCCAAATACTCTCAAGTGAGAATATGATATGTCTTTACCCGTCCATATCTTCTCCGGAACTTCAAAATTCAATGGAGCGGAAGGTGACCTATTTATTAGATAGCAAGATGTCAATACAGCTTCACCCCAGAATGGCTTTGGGAGTTTAGTCATGCTGAGCATGCATCGAACTTTCTCAACAATGGTGCGATTCATCCGTTCTGCTACACCATTGTGTTGTGGGGTTCGTGGGACAGTCTTTTCATGTCTGATACCATGTTCCGTGCAGTATTTAGAGAACTCACGGGAATAGTATTCGCCTCCATTATCTGATCGGAGACATTTTAGCTTCTTGCCTGTTTGTCTTTCCACCATTGCATGAAAAGCTTTGAAGTGGTCCAATACTTGGTCCTTCGTTCTCAAACAGTATGCCCATACCTTTCGTGACGCATCGTCAATGAATGTCACAAAATACCGGCTTCCACCAAGAGATTCTACTTCAATGGGTCCACATACGTCGGAGTGGACAAGGCTCAGCAACTCAGAGCGGTTCTTTCTTGTGGAGCTAAAGGAAACTCTGTGTTGTTTCCCGAATAGGCAGTATTTACAAGGATCCAAGGCAACATCTTTTTCCATTGAAATGGACTCCTTCTTTGCAAGAGTCGTCAATCCCTTCTCGCTCATGTGGCCTAGTCTTCTATGCCACAAGTTTGGTGATGTCTCTTCTTTAACAACATTGAGACTTGGTTGAAGCAACTTTGCATGACTTTTATAAAGAGTACCATCAAGTTTTCCCCTTGCAACAACCATAACACCTTTCAACAACTTCCAGGTGCCATTTTTGAATTGATTATCATATCCTTGGATGTCAAGAGCTCCAACTGAGATAAGATTCATTCTCAGCTCTGGGACATGCCGAACATCTTTCAACACCAATGTAAATCCAACATTGGTCTTTAAATGCACATCACCAATACCAGCAATGCTTGAGAAACTGGTGTTTCCCATCTTCACGGTACCATGGTCTCCGGGTTTATAAGTACTGAATAAATCCCGGTTTGGAGTCGAATGATATGATGCAGCGCTATCAATCACCCACTCATCATCATGAGTTTCAACATGTAGGCATGCTTCCTCCTCGTATGTAACAAGGGCAACGTCTTGTGTTATGGTGACCATGGTTTCACCATTCTCCCTGCTTGGATTCTGGCTTGTCTCGGGCTGCTCTCGTAA